TGAACGTTTGGATGAAATGAAGAGTTTATGCCAGGGGTTTAAAAGGGGAGTGGGAAAGGTTACCCTCGGTGTCCTGTCTTACACAATCCTGAGAGAAAACCCTTCCAGGAGGGCCACCTCCACTTTGCCACTCAACTCATCGGTAATCTGAGACTTCCTGAGGCTTCAGTTCGCTTGGTAACATAGTCTCACATGGCAACCGGTGTTCCAAGTGGGAAGAACCTTCTGGGTTAAGAAGGGGTGTGGTCCCTGGATCTCTCTGCTCACTCCAGCCCAAAACCCATTCAGTCAAAAGCCAGAAATCTGGGGTGCCATTGCTGGAAACTAATCACCATCATCTCTTATATTAACACAGCACATCAAAAGTGCTTCTCAAATACCTCGTGTTCGTGTATGGGACCCATTTTCATGATGAGTAAACTGAGTCACAGAAAGGTTATCACCTGTGGCAAAAACCCCAGCATTAATCCAGGGCTTGTTTAAATTGTTGGTGACATTTTTCCTGTGTCAAACATGTGTCCTCCACAGGAAGCCACTTGATAACTTTGTTGACTGAATAGGTATTCTGCATTGACACTAATCTCCTCCTAGGAAGTCAACGCTTTCCACTCAACAGCTCTTAAAGAACTTTTCTAATAGGCAAAGATTTCACAGAACTTGGATCTCAGAGAATAGGTTCCCGGTAAAGGCCAGAGGTGAAGTTCATTTCAAACTGAACATCCCTCAGGCACATGTGCATGCATGTCCAAAATCCGCAGAGGAGAACGGAGGAGAAGGGATTGTGGGCATGGTCATTCTCCCCTGAGGGGTGATTTCTCACTGTCTCTCTGCCTCTCCAGTGAGTGCATGCACCCTATAGCAAAATCTCTCAAAAAACAAAACAAAGCAAAACCAAAAACAAACTGAGACTCTCTCTTGGCTGGAAATACCAGCTCCAGATGCTCCCATCTCTGTCCAGTTAGGGGCCCTAATGGCCATAATGCCTCCGAGGTGGCGTTTAAACCAATAAGGCTTCAGAGAAATGACGTATGTTTAATAATGGCTTAATGACGCCTCGTGAGATGTAAGGCTTCTGGTTCCTGTTTGGCCTTGATTTACAGCCCGCCTCTAGCTGAGGACAGCCCAGAAACCCCCTCTAAGCCCCCAGCGGAAGAGGGAGGTGTTCACACCAGGCCTCTTGAATTCCTTTAAAAATTGAAGATTCGAATGAAATACAAATGATATTTGACTCCCATGCCTCTCAGAAGTCTCTGGGGGCATTGAAAAGACAAAAGGGTTTAACTCAGACCCAAGAGCTCCTCAGTCCATGGGTGGGTAGGTCCTGGGGTGTGGGGGTATTTCTCCCCATATCTTAGATAGGGTGGGCATTGTTTTATTATTTTTTTCCCCAGAAATTCTCACTACTGCCTTAATCCTATGCTTCCTTTTGGCTGGGGAGACCCAACCCTTAGTAGTATGCGGTCCTCTTTTCACCCTCTCCAAATCAGCAGCTCTCTCTCCAGTGGGTCCCCAGACACTCTGACCACTTGCCCACTGAAAACCATTCACTCCAGACTTGCTGCTCAGAGGCAGCACCGGCTCTTCTGTTCCCCTCCACCTGCCCCAGAGGATGCCTGCTGTACACCAGAGGCAGCACCGGCTCTTCTGTTCCCCTCGACCTGCCCCGGAGGCTGCCTGCTGTACCCTGTGTGGGCCGGAGTTGATCTGGGGATCTCCCCTTCTGTTCAGGCCCTGCTTCAGCTTCTGAAACTAGGAATATATAGAAAGATCAAGAATCAACTTGGCCCAACCTGCAGTCAGAAGGGGACACTCAGTAACAGGTTCAGGTCCCTCAGCTAATGGGTGATAGTGCTGGACCCAAGCTCTCCAGCCCTGCATCCCAGCTCAGAGCTGTTTCCATGCAACACTCCCAACACCTCCTCTCCTCCCTAAGGGAGATTTTTTTCCCCCCTGGGAGTAATGTTTTTCCCAACTCCCAGAAAGGAGCTAGATAAAGTCTCAGCCCAGCCCCTGCCTGCCCCAGGCTCTGCACATCCCAGGCTCAGGTCCAGGAGACCAGGCCTAAAAGTGTTTGCTGAGCGTGTGGGGTAGAAGTTTGGGGGGCTTCTGCCCCCACACCACCCCAGCCCTCTAGGGGCAGAATATCAGGACCAAGGCTGTGTGTGACTGAGCAAGGAACTCACTTGGGTGGGCAGACAAAAGGGATCCTGCCCTGGAGAGGAGGCAGCTTCGGATTCCTCTCTCTGGACTGCTGGGACTCAGGGCTGGGGGGAAATCAGGGGGTTCCTGGACTCCGAGGGGTTAACCCGCGCGGGGCCGCACGTGACGTGGATAGTTCCAGCATTAAGTCAGAGGCGCGGCCCCCTCCCCTACC